GTAAAGGATGGGGTATCGGTCGTCCTCCTGGAAGATGGGACGTTGACAGATCTTGAACCAGCATATCAAACCGTAATGCTGGAAGAGGAGGACGCGTTCCTTTGGATAGAAACTATATGGACTAATGTCAGCTTGATGAGGTTGTCGCCAAGTCTAATGGATCTGAAGTTTCGAGGGAAAGTGGAAGCCTGGGGGTGGGTCTACTTGTCACAAGATGGAAAAAATGCAATGGTAATGGATTCGGCGTTAGGGAATACGCCGACAAATTGTTAAGGAGGGCAGAAGGGAAGGTTGTATGGGCTGCGTGTCAGCGGAGGGAAATGGAAATGGAAAGGGTAGATGCGCGGGTGGAACGTGGGGATAGAGGAAGCATGAGGCGGTCCGTCAGAACCCTTCGATGTCTGTTGCCTCCCTTCCTGGTGGATGTGGTCTTTGGAACCCGGAGCAGGCTAGTACGAATATGTCAGTCCATGACGACCCTCAGATTATACCAATGCGCCAGGCAAGACTTCTTTCGGTTTTCGGTAGAAATGGGGTCGTTTGAGGGGAACAGGGCGGACGAGCTGGCCGAAATGTTGAACTGCCTTAGTGTAGACAATGTTTTTGTCCCTAGCTTCGTGCATTGGGGGATAGTCTATAGAAATGTGGCAGTAGGGAAGATATTCCTTGAAGGGGTGAAGGAGTTGTTCTACAACTAAGAGGACGACTTCAGTGATGAGGACGAAGATGATGAGATAGAGGACTGAGACTTCTAAGGAGGGTGACTTACTTAGGAATGCCGAGTGGCCTGACATTGTGCAGGAAGGGAAAGGATGACTAGGGAGGAATTGTTGATGGAATACACCTTCAAGGGATGAGAACCAAGGCGACTCAAGGGAGGGGTAGAGATGCCTATACCAACAGAAAACGAATTGAGAGGAACCACATGTGACTGGGTCGGGTTTGAGGTTGCCCCAGGACTATCATATGTATGGATAGAGCGGATCTGGAACCCAATGAGGGAAGAGGAAGGTTGGGACGAGGTAGCAGAGGGCAAAATGAAATCGGTCGGAATGGTCGTCCTTTCCGAAGACGGGTGGCGCCTATTTTGCACTATGATAGCAACTGGACATGATCCGATGTGGCTTATGGGGAATGCAGAGACGCGAACCCGAAAAGAAGGTAAGAGGTTCGCCAACGAGGGATCAGACGAAGTTAGTAGCAAGGTTGTGATGGGGGGATGGAAGGAAATCAGGCCTCCCAGCCTACGAACAACGGCTTGGGTGCCTGAGTTCGTGGCCGAGTGGTTTGGGGGTTTCGAGCACATCGTAAAAGTGACCGACTCCATGAAAGAAGTCCATGTAGAATGTGCATGGCTAACTGAGGAATTCGATAAGACCTCGTTAAAATACGGACCCTTCTACGGTAATAAAACCTGGGAAATTCTCACCATCCTAAGGATAGGTAAGCATGACCGCCTAGAGGTAGACGTGGAGGCTTGGGACGCCATAATCAACCGGGAGGCGGCGGCCGCTCCATCCTACGTGGATGATGTTTTTAAATTGTTTCAAGTACTGTGGTTCGATTAGAAGGACCAAGAAATCAAACACCGTGAGGAGGTCGAAGTATGGAGGGTGCATGTAAACCAGGAGGTAGCGTAAGATATGAACATGTATAATAATTTAGCAGGGCATACGAAGGGATCGAAACCAGGGGAGGTGTCCAGCCGTTATGGGCACAAATGTGAGACGCATGATAGAAAAAAAAGGAAGGAGACATAAGCAGGAAAGGAAACAATAGGAGGGTGGGCAGTTGCTGAAGAACGGGTCGTAATCCTTTCTGTGTGGGCTATGCAGGAAAACACCGAAACAACGATGGCGGCGAGACGTGTTCGAGCGGTACGCCAGCCCTGGTACCCCGGATCACCCTGGAATAACGGCAGAGGGTGGGAAGTGTCCCTACCATCAAGTCCCGACTTTCGGGGGTTCGACGTGGAATGGCGGGCCGTGACCTTAGGAAGGGATAGCGCTTTCATGCTGGTGGAGTGTCGGTGGACGGGATGAGATTCAACCGAGGGCCTGGGGATGACTTGTTTTTCAATTTAGAGATTACTGGAGCCTTGTATCTACCCGAGATCGGCTGACACTCCACTAGGGGTAGGAATAGCCCAAGGCCACGAGCTGGCTCCGGTTTTTCGGAGGGCCACTCAGGTGTTGACGCGGATAGGTCAATCGATCAGAGGTAGGCGGAACGTGGACTTACTTACTAGGGTGGAAATGGGGGGCTGGAGGGAGTTCAGGGTACCGACAACCCCGCTGAGGTGCCGGGTCCCCCGATTCATGATAGACCTCATTTTCGGGAGCCTCGCAAGGGCGCAAGATCTGGCAGACTTGGCAATAATCTAGGTAGACCACTTCCCCTATGAGACCATCGGGATGTTCTATGACGTTGCTATGGAGCATGAACCGTTTTGGGGAAACCGGGCCCATGAATTACTAGAAGTTATTAATATCCTGCTATTTGGGCTGCCTCAACTAGCTTGGGCGGAATACGAACACATAATCCGAAGGGAAATTGAGATAGGAGAAAGTTATCTAGCGGGGGTGGCTTAACTGTTCGAGGAGCCTACCGAACCGGAAGGGCTGAGAGGACGAGAACGGGACTAGCACCCGAAGGCAGGCCAAGTACAGTGGCTCAATGACGAAAATGGGGAAGGACCTTCGGACCGGGCGATCAAAAACATCTACAGAATAAAGGGGGAAGGGTAGATTCCTGATGATTGTCATGAAACCAGAGGATAAAAAAGAGAATACTGCTCGGGAAACTTTTTCCTAAAAAGATGCCCAACCAGGACCCCTATGCGCCGGCCCGACGAAACAGGGGCACTCTAAACGAGCCTGTTATGAAGGGAACTAAGTCGTGCCCCTTAGCTCGATAGGGCAGCAGGGCCAGTCGCAGCTTCTTCTTAGGAAAACAATCAGGAGACGGAAATGGGGAGAAGGATACTATCCGGATAAAGATAAACCGATGAAACCGGAACCTATGGAACCTAAATGCCTTGCGCTGCGTGTATCCTAGGGAATCCTCTGGTTTGTGCAGAACTAGGCAAAATGGCGACGGAGGATGAGACGAATAATCGTAGGAGCGAGGGAGGACTAGGCTTAGGAGACAGCGCCATGCAAAGTGAGGAGGGTTGGAAGGACAAAGAATCGATAAATCCAGATGGTACCAAGGGGAACCGGAAGGAAATCTCCTCAGGGGAAAGCTCGGGGCCGGGGGATGCAAGCAAGGGACCCAGGAGACGAGGGAGGGTAGGAACAAGGACATGACAAACCCCCAGAATTCAGAGGGAGTTGTGTCTACGAAAGTGAGAGTCACGGATGCGAGGCGTAAGCTAGCGGAAATAGAAAAAAGGACCGCGGAGTACAAGGCAAGATTGATTGAAGAAATGATGACTGGGAACGAGGAGGACCCTTCGCAGGAGGAACTGCGGGATGGGTGGAAAGCCGGCCAAGGCGGAAGTAGACAAGGGGTTAAGGATAGTGACCGCTGAGGGACGCCAAGCAAGAGGAGGAAGGAAAAATATAATTCCCCGGGGATGGAAGGAAAGAAAGTTACGAACCCATCAGCTATAGATAGCAGGGCTAGTCGTCTGCCAACTACCCCGACAGTAACACGAGGATGTGAAGTGCTCTGGAGCCTTAGGGAAAGGGTGTTGGGATGCTTTGACCCGGAATGGACTTCAAAAACTAGGTAGGGACAAAAGGCCGGCAAGGATACGAGTACGGTGGGCGAGGCTAGTAGCTCCGAAGGCGGCCTCAGGAAGATAGTATCGTCCCTCGCGCGAGCACTGAACAAAAACCAAGGCTACCTAGCAGACGCTAAGAAAAAGTTGACGTTTGACGGGGCGAATATCATGGAGTTTCTAATAGATTACGCGAATCTAGCTGCGTTGTTGAAATGGACTGAAGAGGAAAAGATGGACCACCTGGGGCAACATGTGTCATTAAGCCTGGGACGAGACATAATGACCATCGTAGCCGCGAGCCGATTCTGGAAGGAAACCCAGGATGTGATGATGAAAAAGTACCTGGCCGCGGAGAAAATGACAACGGAGGCTGACTTAGCGGCAGTCCAAAGGAAGAACTTCGCAACATACAACGACTTTTTACGAGAGTTTACCCTGGTAGCATTAAGGATCCCCGGGGTTACGGACCGAAAAATAAGTAAGTCCTTCCTCATGCAGTTCTCCGAGTTCGACAAGGACAAGATCCTATCGGCTTACCAACAGACGAGCAAGTTTGTAAACACCAGGGATGTTGATTTCAGTACGGTAACGGATCTGGCCGAAAAGACTGTCGTGACCGAGACATTGGCAATGCTCAAGGAAGGGGAGGTCATAGATCTGACCGGTAGGACAAGCGACAAGGTAAAGAAGGGGATTGAAAGTCTACATGAACGTGTGCACGGAGTCGACAAAAAGATTGAAAGGGTGGAGAATGCGCTGCTGGTTATGCAGGCGCAAGTATCCCGACCCGCCCTCCCTCCCAAGGAAGCCGTAGTTCCGCCAGGAGTAGCCAACCGAGGATTCAGACGGAGGGATCCCGCTAACGAGCAATGCAAGTATTGCACCGCGGTGGGACATTTTGTGCGTGCATGTCCTAAGCTCAACCCCAATATACTAAAAAGGAGATGTAGCAGATCATTAAAGGGGGAGATATTCGGACCGTAGGGAGAACGGGTGAATTGGAACTCGCCAAGGGGAATGCGGCGAACCATTATTATGCTCAATGGGTTAGAGATAGCAGCAGTAGAGGCCGAACCAGTGGTCGATATCATCTGGGATCAACTCCGGGGCCGCGGGCCTCAGGTCAACTTCATTTTGGAAAGCGACGGGCGCGATAGGGTGAACGCGACCACTCGACTAGGGACGGCTGGGAGAATAATTATCCGTGACACCGTGATGGAGGAGGTTGCTAGAGGTTCCGCGCCCCAGGCAGAGCTCGAGGCCGGGGAGCCCTAGAAAGTTTATGGGAAACCTAGGGAAGAAGAACCCACAGATAAGGTCACGACTGCTAAGAAAAAGTTTAGGTATTAAATTCCGATCTTAACCATGTCGGAGATCGACGACACCCTTAGCAAATTACAAGGAACCATGGTGTCGGTGTCGTTTCAGACCATGCTGCAGGCCAGCCCTAGGTTGCTCAAAGGGCTTAGGCAACTGTTGACTCGGTGGCGAGTAGAGATAGACGAAAACCCCGAACCACCAGAAGAGGAAAGGGAGGAGGAAGCTCCGCAAGAAGTCGCTAACCTTCAAAGGAGTCACGGGGATTTGGAAGATCTCGAGAAGGCCTTCGTGGACATCCGCCTGAGCTTGCCAGACCGAGGAGCTGGCGAGGTCATGAGGGCATCGCCCGGGACGAAGCTAAGCTTTCATGCACTGCCCGTAGGAAAGCTAAAAATCCAGCTCAGAACTTATCATACTGACGCATTGGTAGACGGGGGAGTGGAAATCACTCTCATAAGGAGAGACTTCGCAATGGTCACGGGCTGTACGATGGACAAGGAAGTAACAGGGAGCATCCGGGGAGCCGGTGGGGAAATTTCGTTCGCTGGGTATGTCACGAAATGTGCAGTCAAGGCAGGTATCAGGGAGTCGATCTGGTCGTTTCAGCGAAAGACCGTAAGGGAGGAAATGGACCGCGATATAATTCTCGGGAGACCATGGTGCGCCAACGTAGAGATGATAGGAATGCACTTGCACGATGGCACGTACATGGTAGATATAGAGGATCCCGTAACTGGCCGTGGGGAGCTTCTTCGACTCCTTGGGACGGGAGGAGACCCTCCGAAGGGAAAATTACCCACGTGCTCGCCGTCGTTCGAGGATAGCGCACGGAAAGAGGCCTTTGCGTGAATGGAGGGTATGAGAGAAAGGGTATAAATTATGATTGAGGAAACATTCAATAAGAAAGAATGGATCAAGATGAGCATGCCCCAGAAGAAGAGAAGGCAGGAGGACGAAGTCTTAGGTGTTATGGTGGCTGAAAGGGAATCAGAAGTCGAACTAAGAGCCAGCCTGCCCAGACGGAAAGAAGTGCGAAAGGAGGTATTGAAAATCGCACTTGAAATCTCCGGCGTACTACAACTCATCAAAGCTATTAGGTATCACAAAGGAGGGGCGACGTATGCCAAATTTGAAGAAGAAGTACAGAAAGGGTATTGTCTGAATGAGAAAATAGTCAGTATTTAGCCACGGGTCGCAGAGGCAACAAGAGTAATCCCGGTAGATCCCGGAAGGAAGTGTTCGAAAGTACAAGCCGGTAGGAAAGAAAGCCAAACCGGTCTCGATCCTGCTAGAAACATCTAAGGAAGAGGCTATGGAGGAGGAGGAGGAAGTCCTTCGAGTGATCCGAGAGAGGCGAGTGACGGAAGGGCATCGGATACCGGATGAGGTAGCTGATACAATGAAGATAGGAATAGAGGGATTCCTAACGGAAGAGGAAACCCTCCTGATAGGAAGGACGTGCCAAGAGTTTCATTTGGTATTTGCCTTTAGTGATCACCAAAAGGGGCGGTTAGACGCGAAGGTAATTCCCCCGGTCAGAATCCACACGGTAGAACATGAGTGCTGGAATGACAAGGGGCCGTCCTATAAATTTGGGGTAGCAGGGGAAGTAACAGACCTTCTTCGAGCAAAGATGGACTCCTTCGTCGTAGAACCTACGACGTCACCATACGTGAACTGGTGGTTCGTCTTTCGAAAACCCAACAAGACGCTGAGATGGATTCACCACCTGCAGAAGTTGAATGCAGTAACCTTCCGGGATGCTGGGTCGCTACCTCAGGCCGATTTATTAGCAGAGTCGCACGTCGACCGGAGCATTTACTCCCTCATAGATTTGTACTCAGGGTACGACCAACTTTCAGTGGATGTTCGGAACAGACTGAACACCGCAATCCACACCCCCATAGGACAGCTGCAGATGCAGGTGACCCCTATGGGCTTTACGAATGCGGTAGCGGAAGCAGAAAGAAGAATGCTCGCCCTAGCCGGAGACATGTTCCCAGAGAAGTGTGAGCCCTACATCGATGACAACCTGATCAAAGGCTCCCAAGAGAAGGACGAGACGGAAGTCCAGCCAGGAATTCGAAGATTTATATGGGACCATCTACAGGACATGAAGGACTTACTCCGCCGATTCCTAGTGTATAACATCACTGCTAGCGGACCAAAGAGTATTCTAGCGGTACCGGAGGTACCATACTGGGATTTCGTTGTGGCGCATACGGTAGGAAACCAGACCCGGCTAAGCCAGACAAGATATCATAGTGGCCAACACCCTTGCGCACGACAACGGATATAAGAGCCTTCTTAGGCGTGGTCGGCTTTTGGAGGATTTTCATTAAAAAATTTGCCAAAATTGTTGAGCCTATCCGGACCATGATAAGAGAAGAAGGAACCATGGATTGGATGGAGGAGCGAGAAGGAGCCATCCAAACGCTCAAGGACATACTGACGTCTGAGCAAGTCGCCTTGTCAGAACCCTGCTTTAATAACAAAGTGGGACGACCATTCATCCTAGAGACGGACGGAGGACCTTTGGCCGTAGGGGGCAGGGTTGTCGAGCGGGGATCCCCGGGGGCAAAGCCGGTGTGAGGCTGCGGACCCCGGACCCCCGCCGGGGGGCCATCCAACCCCGCCACCGCCGGACGACCCCCGCCGCCGCCCAGCCCCGGGTACCCCGCCGCCTAACCCCGCAGGCCCGCCACCGGCCCCGCAAC